AAAAAAAAAAAAAAAACAGAAACAGAAGGCTGTCACACAAGAAGGGAAATTAATGCGAAAGATAATTGTGTTTTTCATTGATGAATGGTAACGACCAATGAAATCACAGAAAAAAAATATAGAAAATTGTAAATTGCATATACACCTGAAAAAAGATAAGATTACTAAACAGTTGAACATTTATCTATGCAATGATATTGTTTTAAAAATCTCATTCCACTTACGGAAACCAGAAAGGTGTTGAGTGCTAAATTTCAGTGGCTCGAAATTTCAAATTTGTTATTTCAACATAGGAACCGTCAAGTAAGCCTAGTTCACTCAGAGTGAATGATGGCTCCCTTACAGAGTAATTACACCACAGAATGGACTTTAGGGAGTGTCGTGGCAATGAGTATTTGGCTGACGGTGATCATTTTGGTTGGAGTGGTAGGCAATATCTTGGTAATCATTGTCAGTCTACAAGGAACAAGAGTACGAACAAGAGGAAAAGGTTTGATAGCATCCATGGCTTTTGCCGACATGCTGGAGTCCGTCAACATAATATTCGTGTGGGTGAGTGTTACACAATATGGAGAATGGATTTTTGGGGAACTGATGTGCACTTTGCACGGATTCGTCACCACTCTATTCGTTATTGCTTCGATGTACAGTCTAATGACTATCAGCATCAACCGCTATTTCATKGTGGTCAAGTCCAACCATTACAAGAAGATTTTCAGTGCAAGAAAGCTTTCCTTGATGATACTCTTCATCTGGATTTTCCCGCTCTTTTTTGCAGTGCCTCCTCTCTTTGGCTGGTCAAAGTACGTCTTCCAATCCAATAAAGCAACATGTATTTTTTACTTCAGTTCATCTGTGGGTTTTTCTATATCGTTAATGGCGTTCTGTATACCACTTCCTCTATCTATCATAATATTTTGTTGCTATAAAATCTATAAACAAGTGAAACAACACCGGTCGCAGGTAGAGGCGATGGGTACCGAAAAATCCGTCAATGTGGAAGAAATACGCATCACAAAAACTCTTATAATCATCATCCTAGCTTATCTAATATGCTTCGTTCCTGCAGCAACTGTAAACTTAATAGAAATGGTCAATCCGATGTTCAAGATACCATTTTGGATCGATATCATAACTGTCAATCTTGTGTTTGCAAATCATGCAAACAATCCTATCATTTATGGGGTCTTCAACAGACAATACCGACGAGCATTCAAAGAACTGCTTATTGGTTTAATACCAGGAATCCATTAACAGTGTCAGGGAGTCAGTTCAGTACTCAAGGCAACACTGGACTAACTTCTGCTGTACGAAATAGAGTAACAAAGAGAACTGACTGTACTGAAAAAGGAACTGTTGAAAGGTCATAATTAAGTAGAGGATAGCTTATAATCCAGTTAGGAAAACAGTTGTTAACAAAATGAATAAGAAGGAAATTCAAACACTGAGTGTAAAAAGTTTATAACTATATCATCAAAACTAATAACTAGTTTTTGACGCTTTTTGATTTTTGATTTTTTTAAATTTAGGTTAGTCTTAAGGTTAGTCTTTTGTCGGAATAGAAGAAACAGTTGAAGCTTGAAAGAGCCTTTCAATACAAAATAGCACCCGTTTCTTCATTTCGGTGTCTCTGGACTGGACCTGACTTCCAGAACTTTCTTCTTTCGCAGACCAATTAGTTAAATTAAATTGAATTCGGCCGACGATTGAGCTTGCAACTGTCCATACAACTAATGCAAACTAATTATGTCTACGTTCTGGCTTGAAAAAAACCTGTCCCTGGTCCAGACTTCCAGAACTTTCTTTTTTCGAAGAAATTGAAGTTAATTCGACAGACGGTTGCGTCTGCAACTGTCCCTGCAACTAATATAAACTAATGTTGTTTGTTTGATTTATGTTACGTTCTGACTTGAAAAATAAACTATGTCATGTCGAATTTTTGCAGGCCTTTATGAATCGTGGTAGTCCTACCACGGGTGTTAACGAATATTAAGAACATTGTGCTTAACGGGACTCTTTTTCAGGCGGCAGCCATGTTGGTTTGAACAATGGATTCATCACGCGTAGCCTCGCATTTAAGTGCTGGACAAAAATTGTATACGGGTTAAAAAAAGAATAAATATGGCCCGGCGCCGAGTAATAAAGGTGCATTTACTTGCTTTGCCCGCGAATTATTTTATCGTTTTCCCTGCACTTCTCTTTTCCTTTTGTAAACCTTTTCACCAAAGACAATTACTCTCTTATTTATCTCAGTTATACATGTGGAGAATTTTTGCAATTTCTAGTAATAATTTAGTCTAGCTGTCGACTGAAGTTTCTTGTTTTCCGTACAATATGTGTGTTTTACGAAAAAAAACTCTCCATTCCCAAGAGAATGTAATAAACGAAAAGGAAACGCTCTCGAAAATGAAGATGTTAGCAATATCCAGGTCAAATGTTTAGACAAAAACAAAATAACTAAATAAAATTGATTTAATTTCTTTTTCTTTTATTTTTTTCTTTTATTTTTTTTCTTTTCTTTTTTTTCAAGCTCAAAAATTTGTTTCGGTCAAATAAGCCTAAATGATCGAGTTTGTAATTGTATAGCTCGGTCATTCATAATTTATAATTGTATTTTCCATTTGTTTTCATCCTTCCTGGACAAACACTAGCTAATCGCTTTATTGATATTGAAAACTGTCCCAACACCCAGCTACTTATATTCTCTAAAGATAGAAAAAATAGTATTTTTCCCCACAGTGTTGGTTTTTTACGAGATTTTTTTCTCCGCGAAAAACCTTTGCGGATTCTGTGCAAGGTCATAGATACTTATCAACCGAGAAAGAAAAAGGGCCATGTCAGCCTAATAATTACAAGATTATTGAACAAACGAAAAAATACCAGATGTTTGTTCTACTTTGGCATGGATGAACGGAAACAACGCCGGAACTAGACGAAGAAACTTGACATCATGTACATCGCTTTAATATCTTTTCTCTTTCCGCTTAATACTAATGAACAAGAAAAAAAACTCCATGAACTATACATTCTTGATTAATAATAAGGAGACTTTCATAAAATGAAAAAATATATTAAAAAATTAGCCTGTTTGACAGCCTGGTCGACTAATGAAATTTTGTTCAGATATTTAATTTCATAATCAGAAATCCATTCGCACTTGTCCAATACAAATATTTTATTATAGATCGGTTGTTTTTGACGTTTGAAATTAAGACTTCAAAATCGTTCACCTTAAATTTTTTCAGTTCCGAAAAATGATTCCTGATCAATTCAAAAGCAAGGTTACTTGTTGACAATAGTTAAAAATGAAATAGCAGATAAATATTTTATCATTCGAGTGAATTTGAATCATCATGTACATCGCTTTCATATCTTTTCTCTTTCCGCTTAATACTAATGAACGAGAAAAAAACTCCATGAACTATACATACTTGATTAATAGTAAGGAGACTTTCATAAAATGAAAAAATATATTAAAAAATTAGCCTGTTTGACAGCCTGGTCGACTAATGAAATTTTGTTCAGATATTTAATTTCATAATCAGAAATCCATTCGCACTTGTCCAATACAAATATTTTATTATAGATCGGTTGTTTTTGACGTTGGAATTAAGACTTCAAAATCGTTCACCTTAAATTTTCTCAGTTCCGAAAAATGATTCCTGATCAATTCAAAAGCAAGGTTACTTCTTGACAATAGTTAAAAATTAAATAGCGGATAAATATTTTATCATTCAAGTGATCATGAATTTGAATCGAGGATTTAAGCTTCAGCTGGTATAACCAAGTGATATGGTAATACATAAAGGTTATAATTACACACCGGAAAAATTTATTTTATTTGACTCTCTTTCAACTGAAACGTGGAACGATTCTAGGTGAAATACATTTTGGCGTAGTTAGATACTACAGGGAAGCGTTCGTGTAAAAGAGTTTGAGTGAGGGAAAAAAAAGGTTTTCTCCTAGTATACAAAACATTTCGCGAGTATACTTTTGTGAGACCAACATACTGTATTAACAAACACAATATGAAGGAATCCGCCTAAGTTTCATGAAAATACTAAGGATATTTGATATTTTGACTAATTTGCATACCGATGTAGAGCATGCGCAGACTTTTTTCACTCGTGTCAATTTTGGGTACTTTTATGGTAAGTTCAAGCTCGTTCATAACGGCTCGATCGGAATCCAAATGTCTACATAAAGGTTTATAAATGCACGCCGGAAAAGTGCGTAATGTCCTTGAGATTACTTCCAATTGCTTGTCTTTTGACGGGGGAGTATTACATATGCTTCATTTATTCAATAAAAGAGTCTACCTACAATTTCATTTTTCTCCAGAAAACTCTGTTTTGGGGTGTGACTGAGAGCGCGCGCAAAGCGATATGGTATAAAGTGACACGACACTTACATTTGCGCGCGCCAGAAACACCCTGTATTGCCAACTGGAAAACGGCGTCCTCAGCGGTGTTGAATTGGCTGGTGAATCGTAACAGATAAGAAGAAGGTTGCAATTAAGATTAAGAAACATTTACACGTACTTCTTCGCTGTTTGTGTTTCGGTTTCTTAAGGCAATGATAAAATTTAAATTTTTATTGGTTAATGAACGTCAATATTTGCTTCTTGGCATGTACGACTACTTTTAATTTATTCGTTATAGGCATTAAGACAATATAGAGTCTTTGGTACACCGCAGATTAACTCAGATAGTGGGCAATATATATAGATATATTAGATGTGGGCAATGTTACTAGAGTATTAAACGGTTTTTAGAGTCAACTCAAGTATGTACAGTTAGGTTTTTTGTCATGTGACTATTACACAGCTTTTATACCACACCTTTTCAACGTTCTGCATAACAAATTCGTCTTTAAAACCTATCTACCTACCTACCTACCTACCTACCTAATACCTACCTACCTACCTACCTACCTACCTACCTACCTACCTACCTACCTACCTACCTACCTACCTACCTACCTACCTACCTATCCACCCACCCACTCTAACTGTCTGTCTGTCTGCCTTTCACCTATGCTATCTACGCACCAATGATATCGAAAGAGCTTATAAAAAAAATAATTCAAATTACGTCCTCTTGGCAGCCAAGTACTCTCTATAGCGTTCTCCACACATCCTGGAAACTTATTTCAATCAAGTTGTTTAACAAAGAAAGGATTCCACTTCAATCGTATTGCATAATTTTTTTTAATTTTTCTATTAACATTTTGAATAATATATTTATCTATTTGTTTACCTTTTTCAATTTCTTCCGAAAGCAATATTTATGCTGTCAAAACGAGTGGGTAGTAATGGCAACCAAGAAGTATAATACGACAGCTGAAAGTTGAATGTTCAACACTGAAACGATACAGAATAGTGCAATATCCAATGAGGCGTCAAAAAATAAATAATGATCCTTTCATTGTAAATACACCTAAAAAAACAATTTCCTTGCTTATCATAAGCAAGTGTACTCGCTTTTCGTTTCTTTTCTTCTCACCTATTTGAGTAATTTATGCACAAAACCTTCTTCAACTCGTACCGCCATTTCAGACTCTAAATGTGACATAGTTCTTTCGGAAGTTGAATGTGAAAATATTAGTAAAGTCCTCCGATCGTTTAAAACACTGAGCATTCACCAGCTAGTGGGGAAGATTAATTTGCGACGAATCAAAGTCGAGTTTCAATCTACGCCAACCTACGCAGTATTCAGAAAGTTTTTTAAATATAGTTTTTCTCCAATTTCATCAATAATCTTAAATTTTTAAAAAACACTGAACTATATACCCGATTTGATATAAATTCGATTTGTGCATTCAACTGGTATTCATCAGAAACCGACTGAGGGAAGCTACCCGCGTCTTGTGGTCCAAGTGGTCAAGATTTAACAGTTTATACGAAAGACGGATATTAGAGACTTGAGGCTTGAAAATTGTTTCCTATCTTAATTGCGAAATTTATATCAGCATCGTTAGAATACCTGGATAGTCATGAGTTATTTCCAAGGGTCTGGAGAATGGACTTTAGCGAGTGTTGTGGTAATGAGTATTTGGCTGACGGTGATCATTTTGGTTGGAGTGGTAGGCAATATCTTGGTAATCATTGTCAGTCTACAAGGAACGAGAGTACGAACAAGAGGAAAAGGTTTGATAGCATCCATGGCTTTTGCCGACATGCTGGAGTCCGTCAACATGATATTCATGTTGGTGACTGTTACACAATATGGAGAATGGATTTTTGGGGAACTGATGTGCACTTTGCACGGATTCGTCACCACTCTATTCGTTATTGCTTCGATGTACAGTCTAATGACTATCAGCATCAACCGCTATTTCATKGTGGTCAAGTCCAACCATTACAAGAAGATTTTCAGTGCAAGAAAGCTTTCCTTGATGATACTCTTCATCTGGATTTTCCCGCTCTTTTTTGCAGTGCCTCCTCTCTTTGGCTGGTCAAAGTACGTCTTCCAATCCAATAAAGCAACATGTATTTTTTACTTCAGTTCATCTGTGGGTTTTTCTATATCGTTAATGGCGTTCTGTATACCACTTCCTCTATCTATCATAATATTTTGTTGCTATAAAATCTATAAACAAGTGAAACAACACCGGTCGCAGGTAGAGGCGATGGGTACCGAAAAATCCGTCAATGTGGAAGAAATACGCATCACAAAAACCCTTATAATCATCATCCTCGCTTATTTGATATGTTTCATTCCTCCAGCCGTCGTCAACTTAATAGAAATGGCCAGTCCGATGTACAAGATACCATTTTGGGTCGATATTATAACAATGAATTTAATTTTTGCAAATCATGCAAACAATCCTATCATTTATGGGGTCTTCAACAGACAATACCGACGAGCTTTCAAAGAACTGCTTATTGGTTTAATACCAGGAATGCACTACAATTCTAGTTTAGACACATCAGTTCAAGGTAATGCCGGTCTAAACACCTCTGTTTACGCAACAGAGTGACAGAAAGAACAGACTGTACAGAAAAAGAAGAAAGCTGCTATCCAAATGCGCTGTGGCAAAAGACATCTACGCCACAAACTTTAAAACCTTTCGTAATGTCTTCGTAAGAGATAAATTAAATGAATTTTTGGTTAAGAATGTTAAATTTTCCTAGTGACAGTAGAGTTACATGAAATATTCCGGTTTGAGTAAGAAAAAACGCATCAGCCGATGGATAATTTTGGGGCCTTTTCAAATGACCTGCTGGCAAATTAATTTTAAGCTCACTTAAAAGTGAGCTTTAACAAAAATAAAGGTTTAACGACTTTTCATTAACGTCCTTTTAGCATGGACATATCAATTCATGCAGCTGCTAAGATTGCGATATTTAATTATTCTATATGTTCAAGGCCGGTTTAGACGGTACAATTTTCGCCTACAACTATCGTATACAACACGCTCGAGCCATCCTACGTACAACTCGAGTCGTAGCGTGTAAATCAAGCCTACAACTAGCCTACGACAGACGCGAGCGTGTTTTATACCGTCTAAACCGGTCTTTACAGTTCTGTTCAGTGACCATGAATCCTACGAGTTGAATATATAAAAGCTCCAAGCCGACGGAGGTTGGAGTTGCCGTGCATGATTAAAAGTATAGTTTTGCTATGCGCGGAACCTCCAATCTCGACTTGGAACTATTATATATATTCGTGGTCACTGAACTGAACTGTGAAATGAACTATTATTCAGAAATGATTATTGGTGAATATTTACCAAGCCGCGAGTCTTCGTGTGGCAAGGTAGATGTCCACCATAATCGCACTGACCCGAAGGTAAATAATTGTTTTAGTATAATTTCATAGACTCGAATATCTGAGAAAAGACGAATTTAACGTCCTAAGTTCGTTTTCAATAAATTAATATTTTCATGACATTGTGAAGAAATATAAAGTTTTCAAGATCACGTGTCATGATGGAATGTCATGGAAACGCCTTCAATGACGCCCACCAAAACTGACCTTGTTGCGACGACTTTTCAAGGGCTTCAAGCGGGACTTTATTAACCGTATTAATAATGATAATAATATGGCAGATCAGTACATACAGAAATAATAAGTAATTGTTGTAGTGGAGATGATAAGAATTAATATCTAAGGCATAGTCGACGTTCAGTAAGCCATGTAAAAAAGGTTGTAAAAAGGCCAATAATTTTAATTTCAACATTGTGATGTGAAAAAATCTCGTGAATAAAACCAGACATCATTCCCTAAATCGCAAGTTTTCAATAGGATTATTCTTTCTGTTGATGACACACGGTGGTCAGTGACAACCATGAGCAGCCGATCGATTCAAAGACTTTTATCGGCTGATTGAAATCCAGCAATAGACCCTTCTCAAAAAAGAACTTGAATACGAGGCTTACATGAAAAAGGAACAGATATTATTAGCTATATTAAAGATTAGCAAAAATACACAGGTGATTATTGAAAATCTCGCGCGCTGATTGGTCGAGAAACTCACACTATCACACGATAATCACCTCGAGCGATAATCCAAAATGGCGGCCAGCCGCTTTGTTGCTTTTACCGGGAAAAAATGTCTTTTATCTTCTTTATTTATTTTTTGTTGTTGAAAGAATCACCTGTGTATTTATACTAAGACAATTATTTGCCTCAGCCTCAGTGAATATCGGGGAATATTTACCTCGCCGCTCGAAGACTCGCGTCTCGGTAAATATTCCCCGATATTCACTTCGCCTTCGGCGAATAATCGTTAATTATTATATGAGTACAGAAAAAATGGCGAGAGGAATTAAAGTACGTGCAAACTCACATCGGTGAAACTGGCAGAGAACTGGAAAACCCGTTTCAAGGAACATCTTAGAGTGAGATCAGGAACATCTGTAACGGCAATTGGTAAACACATTAAAGCACATCCAGATCACGAAATGTCAACAGAGAATGTCCGCATCCTTGCTAAGTAGCAACATCGGCAAAAGAGAAAGATCAGAGAAGCCGTAGAAATAAGAAGAAATAAGCCTAATTGAAACAACAAAGAGGAATGCACTGAAATCCAACCACGGGCTATGACAAAGTGTTTTAGCATTAAAATGCGTGAACGGGTTGGTCACTAAATGAAGGGAAAGTGATCTCTTCCGAAACGTCTGGAACTAAATCTAATTTTGGCTCTGTTATCTGGTATCTTTTATAATAACCGGCGAATAAATATCTGGACTTTATAATCAAAATGAATTATTTGGTATAGTCAATAACCAATTTTATTTGCTTCAAAAGATTTTAATGCTTTGTAATATGTGGATTTGGCGGGAAAGAAAAACAAGAAATCATAAATAAGAGAGGGAAAGTTCTCAATAACGCGCGAGCCATGGAAATTCCCGTTTGGGCTATTTTTAGTAGCCGGACCACAGGTTAAATTTCGCCTTCCCCTACTCCCGTGCGCCATCAACTTGCGCGCTCGCGCTCTTTCCGTTTCGTTTTCGGTGGGTCGGTGGGTCGGTGGGTCGGTGGGTCGGTGGGTCGGTGGGTCGGTGGGTCGGTTGATTTTTTCAAAGCCTGGATGTAATTTAGGCAAAGTTAAAACCAAGTCCAACTGCTCAGCGGTTTCGCCGAGTGGTAGTGTGGGTAGAGCCCATTGTGGTTCAGGGGTATTTGCAGGTTTGCTGTGTATGGCAGCTTTGTCGTTGTGTTGTGGTTTGGCCAAGCACTTGTGGAAAGGTTTCTTCTTCCCACCCACCTTTCAGAAGTAAGTATAGGACATGGTAAGTATTTGGACCGCGGTAGGTGTGTCGGGTGCCAGGTGAGCGGTGGACTGTGCTCCCGGTTGCCATGGTCACCTCTGCGAACGGGCTGTTTAGGCGCGACCACCCCTGGCACCCTGGCACTTAACCCAAACTTATCACTACAATGAGTTTTAAAGTTGGTTGGTTGGGAAAAACCCTAAACTGAGATTAAACGCGTACGTATTTTGAAATGGATCTAATATTCACTGTTTTTCTTTGCGGAATATTATTCCGTCATCCTCCTGGAAATAACAAGTAATCTAAACGAAATAAGATAGAGCTAAAAGAAGTAAACCTGCTTGCAGCCGGACTTTTCTTTCGTATAATCTTAACACACAGAACTTTAGGTTTGCCTATGTTGTAATCAATGTTTATCTAATACTTATAATTTGTCATTTTTGAAAGTAGAAGATCTGTGGTCATGGATCAAATGTTCTGTATTTTTGTCCCAACACTAACAGCACACTGAAGAAGATCTGTGGTTATGGATCAAATGGTCTGTATTTTTGTCCCAATACTAACAGCACACTGAAGAAGATCTGTGGTCATGCATCAAATGGTCTGTATTTTTGTCCCAACACTAACAGCACACTGAAGAAGATCTATGGTCATGGATCAAATGGTCTGTATTTTTGTCCCAACACCAACGTCACACTGAAGAAGATCTGTGGTCATGCATCAAATGGTCTGTATTTTTGTCCCAATACTAACAGCACACTGAAGAAGATCTGTGGTCATGGATGAAATGGTCTGTATTTTTGTCTCAACACTAACAGCACACTGAAGAAGATCTGTGGCCATGCATCAAATGGTCTGTATTTTTGTCCCAACACCAACGTCACACTGAAGAAGATCTGTGGTCATGAATCAAATGGTCTGTATTTTTGTCCCAACACTAACGTCACACTGAAGAAGATCTGTGGTCATGGATCAAATGGTCTGTATTTTTGTCTCAACACTAACAGCACACTGAAGAAGATCTGTGGTCATGCATCAAATGGTCTGTATTTTTGTCCCAACACTAACAGCACACTGAAGAAGATCTGTGGTCATGGATCAAATGGTCTGTATTTTTGTCCCAACACTAACAGCACACTGAAGAAGATCTGTGGTCATGGATCAAATGGTCTGTATTTTTGTCTCAACACTAACAGCACACTGAAGAAGATCTGTGGTCATGGATCAAATGGTCTATATTTTTGTGTGCGAGAAGTCTTTCCAGCCTTTTTCCACATCAAACAGACTTAAAAGTCAACTGCTACACAAAAATATACCCGCATGTCTCGCGTGACAAGCCATGCTTAATTGTATTTCCAATAAACACTTTTCTATTAATGAAGAGTCGACCCGGAATCTCTACCGCACTTCAATACCAGAGGTAACTTGTAAATTGAATGTCCTGTTAAAACAACGAACACATATATGATTTTCGAAATACAAGTCATTGCTACATAATTTTAGTGTGAATTATAAGACAGTCTACCCATAATTCCACTGTAGGGACGAGTGATACTGGATACGAGAGCGCGCGTTACATCATCAATCAGATATTCAGCCTTGCGCGCGCTTTGGATGAAGTTGTTCAGTGAGAGAAAACCGAGGAACGAGCGAAAGCGATAAAAAAAAAAAAAATACACAAGCGAAAAATTTTTTAGCGGATACGATTATTTGCAGATTTGATAGCACATAGCACAGTTTCAGGTAAGAACTTTGACATACTCAAATGGTTTTATTATGATTTTCTAGTTCAGTTATGTGGAAAATAAAGAAAGTTTGACAGTGAAACATCCAAATGAAAAAAAATGAGAAACTTGTACGCACACAAAGGTTTTGAGGCTGAGAAACAATGATCTACATTTAAGGTGGTTGTAAAATTAAAAAGAAAAAAAGACAAAGATCTAAAATAATTACTTTTTTAATCATGTCTAATTTAAAGAAGATGTTAAAGAAAGATGAATAAAGAAAGAAAAGATAATGCGTATACAATGTTTCGCAAAACAAGAAAAAGACATACTGCGCATACGAATTTTTAGCTTTTTCCCGCAAATTATTAGGACAGATATGAATGAAAAATAATCGTATCATTCATTCATTTGCAGGTTACCTGGAAGGTTTGTTTGTCATGGAATCACCAATCCATTACCAGAAAACCGTCCATTACCTATGGTATATAGCAACTTTTGAATACGTCTTCCAGTACAAGAAGTCTCATCCTTTGATGTTTGCCCTGTTTTTACCTCTCATCATGCCTGCTTGTTTACTCAAGACAATGTTAGCTTGTCTGGTTGTTCTCAAAGCCGTTTCTGTCCTGTCTGGTTGTGGAGTGAATCTGCTTATGTTTGCTCTACCTTTGATGCTACAAGTATCAGAACATTTAGTACTGGGGGTTGCCTTGGTTTGTATTTGTTACCTTACCTACCTTATCTGTGAAGCAATCCTGCAAGTCTGTCGTAGTTTTGAGTTGGAGCCATGGTCCACAAGAACACTACTCACTTATATTATCTGGCTGATATACGAGGAGTGTTACATAGTACTACACATCTGTGGTCTAGGAACTTATGCCATGGTCTACATTATACTGTCCTATCTACCATGCATGCTGGTACTAATGGCGTGGCTTGGCCTGAAAGTGATGAATCTAGTATTTGTCATGACTTTACTTGCATATGATCGCTGCAGCAACTTGGCATCTGATAATGGCAAACAGTTCTGCTGTTGTAAAACTACAGATATATTTCTTGTAAGCCCAGGGAAAGAAAGAGAGATTCTGAAGAACCAGAAGGGAAAGACGAGTGAAGTGACGGAAAAACCAAAGAAACAACAACTGAGCGATAAAACAAATGTTGAGCCACGCCCTGAGACAAGCAAGCAGACGACTAGAGAGGAGGTTGACACCATTAGAAGAAGGTAAGGCTTGTAATATATCAACTGAAAAACAGATATGGTATTAAATAAATGGCCTCTCAAAACGTGCATTGTGATTAAATGGCGAATATTTTATTGATTCCTGATTGGCTCAAAATGGTAACCAATTGAGTGTCACGATACGATACCATCAAACACAGGAAATCTCAGAATTTGAATATCAAACAAATCTATTAAAAGTGCATCAATTTTGAATGTTTATCCACAGCATACTGACAACAAACCTGACCAAGGAAAATGTCAAGGACATGTGGCTTAAGAAACAACAGTCGAGGAGAGGACGTCGAAGGTGGTCCAGGATGAGCAACAACGCTCTCTCTGTCAGTGTGTCTTCCATGTCTAAAGATTGGTAAATCACAAGTGTCTGGCTGTCTGAACTCAACTATTGGTATTCCAGGATGAGCAACAACGCTCTCTCTGTCAGTGCGTCTTCCATGTCTAAAGATTGGTGAATCACAAGTGTCTCGATCCCTGAACTCAACTATTGTATTAGGTTCTGAATGACGGCTGATACTGATGTCACAGACTTGTATAAGTAATCTTATCCTTATTAGCCCACACTTGTGTGGGAATCTACCCAGAATGACTTGAAACCAAGGAATATTGACGTCTATCATAAAACACTCGAATCATTCTTGTTTAATATCGCTTTCAATACTAACTGCCTTATTTGTAAAGTCCATGTCCATTTTATGTTCAATATAAATACTGATAAAAATTTTAAAATTTGATATAAAAAACCGTTCTATTCTCCTGTGTGTTGGAAAAGCGTCTGAATCTGATCGCGCATTGCAATGTTTTTATTCAAACCAACACTTAAACCAACCTGATATCACCTTCAGAAGAGTGTGTGATTAAAAGAAGAAAGGAAATCTAATTTTGGTCGACGGAAGCCAAATCCAAACTAGATTTTGTCTGGGTAGTGTATGAAATTACCAAGTCATCCGTCATTGGCTACATGTTCTGAAGGTGTGTGAATCAAAATTGAAAAAGAAATAGCGCAAGTGCGATATTAATCAACACCTACTTGCCAGACGTACATAGTTCTACGTTACCTCCTCCATTCCTGTAAAACAGGGATGGAAATCTCAAAATGTTGCCTAAGGATAGGATAAACCTTCATTTCTACGCTTTAAACCGCCACATCCGTGAAACTGTGTGCGTTCAACAGCACGGCTAATGAGATAATTACGATTACGTCATGAATAGCATTGTGTTAATGAGAAAATGACGTCACTTTAATCTTTTTCTCGAATGTTTTCTAATAACCACCGGAATTTAAACTAGGTTTTTTTCTTCTGTTATTTTACGACAGTAAGCTAGATTACAGTTACACACAAATCTCTGGCCCTGCGCATACTTTCTCCAAAATCATCTCGAATCAATATTAAAAACGGAGTTTTACAAAGCGTACGGACAAAGAAACCATTGTTTGTTACAACATACTCTAATAGGATGATCCCTGCTTCTTGTATGCTAATTATCTAAAGGTTCCAGATATTCCTTAAAGAAAAATTGCAAATTGGTAACTCATCTATGTCACGTATAGAATACAGTCAATTCAAAAAACGTTGTCTTCGACAAACTCAAGCCTACCCGACTGGACCGAAAGGAGCTCTGGGTAGCAAACATTTGAAATTTTATCTGACTAGTTATGCCTGGTTTACAGCACGAACCTTCGTAGGCGAGCGGGAAGTGTTGAAGGAGACGTTTTTTTAATGCCTTCATATTTTCGAAATTGTAAACTGAATCATAACTACTTTGTTTTTCTTTCCCTAAACCCAAAGACATGCATTTGATGGATCGTTTCTCGCCATTATTATCTTATTACTAGCGGAAACAATTTATTCAGAACGAATATTTTACCGCTTCAATGATTTTTACCCATATTCCTTTCGGTCCAGTCGCCTAGGCTTGAGCCGGTCGACGACAACGTTTTTTGAATTGACTGTATATTACTAAGAATTCAAGTTTAGTAAAAGCTCTCGTCAGTCAACTGCTCCAAGACAGTTTTTTCTAAACCAGGAAAACACAGCTCGACTTTTTCAAATGAAGATGGCTTCACTGTTAATGCTGAATGCTAGAAAGAAAGTAGACTTCCTTTGTTAAGAAAAAAAAAAAAGAACCAGTTCATTTTCTTGATTTAATAAGAGTCGTTTACAAAAATAATAAATAAATGAATGAGTATAAAAAAGATCTAAGGGAAAAGGGAAAAGAAGAAGAAGAAAAAAAGTTACTCTTAATACATTGGGAATTGAACCCACATTAGATAATTAATTCCAAAATACAGAATAGAAAAGAAAAAGTAGTGCCTTCATGCCATACCCCGAGACGTTCGCTGGGTCATCGGACGTATGGACTTCGGACATGACGGCAATTAAGTCCCTCTGCCCTTGGGTGTACGGATTACGCAGATCAGTTATGTTCTAGCCGAAGCATCAGGGGAGAGACTAGCCGGCCCCCATACCATATCTACAGCTAATCCCTTGCACTCTGCCACGCACTGGCACGTTGATTTCAAGTGGAAAATAATATAGTCTATCTGGTGCATTGTTGTCATGGCTATTGTTGTGCTAATTTCCTGAAATCGTGGCCCAGTGGAATAAACTGGGGCTTAAAGGTCACTGAGTCAAGCACGGTTGAGGGAGATTAGTACTTGGATGGGTGACCTTAAATTCATATGAGTTACATAAAGATTAAAGATTTTTGGACTAATATAGAGCTAAATGTTTCCCTCCTTATAATCCCGCATAGTGAAACCAATTCCTGTCTACCCAAATGGTTTGGAAAGCCTCTGAGGAAGATATTAGCAGCCATTTTCACATATTTTATATACTAAATAGTGATAAATAATCAATCAATAAATGGCTCTTCTAAACTTTCTTACAGATGACATATTTTGGAACGAGAAAAGGAAGAGAAAATCCTTTCCCTGTYGATGAGTMAGAGACCCAAAAGCTTGCGTCCACGAAAAATATATGAAACAAATACAGGTTTTTTGTGAACTATACTTTGAAGGATATTTTACGACCATCTACACTGCTCTTTTTTAACTAAATTGTTATTTTCATGACATTGTCAGAGTATATAAAGTTTTCAAGATCACGTGTCATGGAATGTCATGGAAACGCCTTCAATGACGCTCACCAGAACTGACCTTGTTGCGACGACTTTTCAAGGGCTTCAAAAGCTGGACTTTATTTATTAATAATGATAATAATATGGCAGATCAGTACAGAAATAATAAATAATTGTTGTGGTGGACTGATGAAAAGAATTAATGTAGTTGACGTTCAGTAAGCCTTGTAAAAGAGAAAGCATTGTGATGTGAAATTTTGCTGCACTTGATTCCATCTGACTAGACATTATTTCCTAAATCGCAAGTTTTCGACAAGATTCTTCTTTCTGGTTGGCAACAAGTGGTCAGTGTTTCAGTGACAGTCATGAGAAGCCGCGTGAGATCGATTTAAAGACTTTTCCGGCTGATTAAAGATTGGCGAGTTGGGATATTTAGTCGAGTATAGTCGACGAATATTCGTGTTTGGATGTATGCCTACAGCTCCTTTTGGTCGTGCAACCAATAACCGGTCGCCATTTGCCGTTCTCCCCTTCATCGTTTTTTGAAATAGCTATATGCCTTTGCTGTTATATAAACCTTTGACCACCTTTGAAAAGTCCGGCTCTTTTTCGAGTATATTCTTTTCTGCTCAAGATTAACCGGATTTTGTGAGAAAGTTTGTGTCATACTTCAGCTACATTGTCATCCTTTTTTTAGTTTAAAAGTTTTTGAAGAAGAACAGTTTCGGTTGAATTGGAAGGCTAACCCTGAATAATTGGTTCGTAATAAAGCAATACCACTATTTTTCACAATGATTTGGGGTGGGGGAAATGCAATATCCATTTTTTTCTAGCCGGTTTTTGCTTGCTCAGGTTAACGCCTTTTTCAAACATCCGCTGACAAACATGACTGAAGTGCTCGAAGTGACGTCACTGGTAGTGCACAAAATGGCGGATACTTGTCAGCGAGCAAAGATCAAGGTTAAAATATGAAGCAGAATCTCGATGCCAACTCGATCTTTACATCCAAACACTGCAAGAAATAATCATGGATACAGGCTGGGCACAGTTCAGGACCTTGTATGATTTTATTCCCAGAAATGACAGAGAAATAGCCTTACTTGAAGGTGATGTTTTAATAGTTGCAAAGCCCTATGAAGACAGCAAAGACTGGCTAGTAGGGCAAAACCAAAGAACGGGACAACATGGAGACTTTCCTGGCAATTATGTGGAACATATTGGTGATATAGATACGATTGAAGAGGATAAAATAGAGCCTGAACCAGAGAAACCACCACCGGTTCCTCCAAGACTTCCAAGACAACCGACCCAAGGTATGCATGATAATCATCATGTAAAAAAATCTGCAAACTGTCGACGATACAGAAATATATCCCCCGCAAACAATCAATATTTTTGTTGTTTTGATATTATGAGGCAATTTTTGCTAGTTGAAAGACATGTCTGGGAGAATTTCTCAGTAATTGAGGAGTTTGCCAAGAGAAAATTAGTGTTTTGTTGAAGTGTGGATTGTTTCCGGGGTAGGTATTGATGCAAAAGCATATACAATAATCAAGTTACATCGTATCACATGACAGCTTCCTCATGAATTGAGCTGTGATTTATAACACAATTAACTCCTTTAATTCCTAAAATAGAAGCAATAACCCTTCCCTCTGCCACTATATTTGTCTTTATGAAAATTCCCAGAAAACGGAAGTGATTGGTATCCTTGCGAAATTATTTTAATTTTTTGGTTACAGTAATGTTCTACTGCAAAGACGTAATTATTTTGACCTGATTGACAAATAGATTTCATATTATTAAAATATCCTCGTAGAATCAGCTTTTATTGCGTTGCACTGTTTCACAATCAGCTGAAAATTGCGATTTTGATGGCAGTAAAGATCATATCACTTCCATATGAAAATTATTTCAGTGCAGGGGGTGAAATCGGTGGAAGCAGTAATGTTATGTTTATTTTTCCATTAAAAATATACTTTCCTATAACTTACAACAAAGATATTAACACTGAACATACGTTTTGTAAAAGCTTTTCAAGGATTTAAAATTTATTCCCAAAACATGACCACAGAATTTTATGATGAAACTCTATTTTTTAAATTTCAATTGAGTCAATTAGAATTTTTTCAAAGTCAATTTGAAAAAATTTAAGACACAAAATGTAGCAAGTATCATGTCATATAATTTAATTTGTTTTTAAGAGGTATTTTTTAAGGTTTAAGCCCTCTTTTTCCTAATCATATGATAGAAGATAACTTTTTGATATCAAGTTTCCTTGACCTTGAATGACCTTTGCTAATAGTTGTTAATGTAAAAGCTAAGATATGTTCATGACTCGTAACCACAATGAAAAGAATGCATTCATTTTGTAGAAGAAGAAGAAAATATGGTGACTGTTCTTATGAGCAATTTAATTTTTATGTGTGACATTATGACATATTTAATTATACGCCAAATTGAAATATGGCAACAATTGAATAACCATTGTTCTGGACTACTTACTTCCCTCTCTTACATATGAAAACCCTTTTGTGTCTTTCCAATAAACACAAGGGTAGTCAGTCCAGAACAATAATTTTCCAAATTGGTCGTCATAATTTTTATTCAGTGCATAGCTCTCCCTATATACCTGTAATATGAATAAATTCAATATCTTAACTTCCTGCAAGGAAGAGTTCTTTTATTTGACACTGTTATAGATGTTATTTTCTTTATTGTTATAGATGGCCATAAACTGCTTAAAATGTATTCTGCAGTTCCAGTATTCTGCTATAGATGTAAGTATATTCATTATTCAGCCACCCAGACATATGGTACTAATATACTGCATACTATTTACATTGAGTCTGCATTGTGAAGCAAAATGGCCAACAGTTTATTGAAGGATTGTTTTGAAAGAGCTGTAAAGCATGTCTTAACCGGAAAAAAAACTCCCCAGTAAATAATTTGTTTAAGATAGTTTGTTTCACTAACTACAGGATATGGGAAATTGCTAAATTCCCAAATAGCAATTAATACCGTTGAACCTGAAACCATTTATTTAAGGATTCCCTAGGATTGGCCTTTAAGTCACATACATGTAGCAGTTTCTTAGCAACCACACCAAGTATGCTAAAATAAAAATTGTTAATACTTGTTACAAGACTTCTGCAGAGTCTCCTTTCTCTCTTTTGCTTGGAAGAAAATAAAAGGAGACTATGCCAGCAGGGCATTAAAGTCTTGATTTGTTCCATAAATCATCAATGAGAATCTATTAGAAGTGTAAAATGGTATCCATCTTTGTGTCATTTCCATCTGGAGTCTAGAATACAGTAACTAGCTTTTTATATATTCAGCTATAGATATTTTTGCTCATCCAAACATTTTATAATAAATGTTTCAATCCACAGTTATATCTTAGTTTGCAGGGGAAAATATATTTATTTACAAAATGTATTGTTGATATGTTTTGTTTATGGTCTAGCCATTCACCATGGTTACTAGAGATTTTAGGCAGAAGTTATTTATTTTTTTAATAAAATAATTGGGATAGTACGGGCACTATGATTGATCGAAAACCATGTTTGATGAGAGTATCAAAACACGCTATCGTCATTTTAGCAGGCACAAGTATTGCAACTGTCAGATTTTAATCTATCGTGCACGTTGAATAAGATGGCACGTAGGGAGAATTTACTTAAATTTGCTTTTTTTCGATCTTTTCACGCATTTGTTATTTTATAATACAAATCAAAAACAGTTTTTCGTGTTTGATACTCTGATCAAAACACTTGGGATGTTGGGAGAACACTCGAGAAGCTGGAAACCACTCCGCTATGCATCGTGGTTTCCTATGCTCCTTTCATGTTCTCTCAATATCCCACATGTTTTGATCAGAGTATCAAACACGGAAAACTGTTTTTGATCTGTTAAGTGAATCAAAGCAAATTTATTTCACAATTTTAATGTCCCAGGGCACAAATAACCTGCATTGACAAGGGTTCCCTAAATATTTGATTGGCACCCATAACATGATATTTGGGACCCAATTTTGAGCTGTTATACTTATCAGAATTAATTTGGGAGTCCAGCAAGCTAGGACCTGGATAAAAGGCATGTTGGTCTTGCAAATCTGATAAGCTTATAGGGGATATATTGAAAAAGAAAACCTTTACAAAATTGTCTAAAGCTAAATAAAAAGTCTCTATATATTTTTATTTTAGGTGAAGACTTTATTTGGGGTAGAGTCAAAGAGTATTACAAATGTCAAGGTAACTATTAGTAAAAAAAACTTCCTCAAAATCATTGTCCTTAGCATCATCCATCTTTAAACCAGGAGAAAAATAAAGCTGTCCAACTAATTTCATCTCATAAAAGTGCAATTTCTATAACAATCTGTTACAGACTAGCCTGGCTTTTGGTCATGTCCCCAACCCTGAACCTGGAAAAATAACAGATTATAAAAAGATGAATTTCTATATATTTTTTGTTTGTCTTGTCTACAGATTGTAACCTGACATGTCATTTAGGATGTGCAATTGATTTGAAAAACTTTCAATGCATTAAAACTGATGCTGAAGATGAGAGTGGTTATGAGCGCTTGGTATCAGTAAGTTAAATATTTCTATTGTGCATTTACAGTGGTTCCCAATCATGTGATTTGCTGTTGCTGATTGAATACTCCAGTTTTAAGTTCTCTGTCGCCCAGGGTTAGCCTTGATTGTGTGTAGAATATCCATATGTGCCAGTGAAGGTCTGTAGAATTTCAAAGTGTTCATGAATACTTTTAAAGATGTGTATTCCTTACTTTGCGTTGGTATTTTTAAATATTTTGACACTGAAATGATGCTAGCTTTGAGTTAATCAATCTGCTATCAAGAAACATAGCAGTATTTTACAAATTCAAAATGGACTATTGGAACTCAGCCACACTTGTTCAGGACTTGATAAAAATGCCACAAGCTTATGAAACATTTCTGAATCATCCTACCTTATATATATTTCCTAATTTCACTTCACTTAGTTAAAAAAAATATATGTACCTTTGGCTGTTATACCAAAGTGTGGGACAATAAATAATTATTACAATAGAGCTCTAAGCTTGACTAGGTAAAAGCCCAAAGTTTGAATTTCAAATTAGAAGTTGTTTTTTTAAGGTGGAAAACTGGAGAACACAGAGGAAATCCTCAAAGCACAGGAGAAAACAAAAGAGCAACTCTTTAGAAGTAGTACTCATATATGACACTCAGCCCAGGAATCAAAGCTACAGGGGTGGATCCATAAATTTAAAAAGGGAGGTTCTAAAATGACTCCATCAGAAAAAGCTGGTAAGATTGGCTTCACAAAAGGGGGTTCCAATTTCATTCTACTGAGCATAAAGAACATGATTGGCTTCACGAGATCTCACAAAAGAAGGGTTCCATGGAACCCACGGAACCACCCCTGGATTGATCAGCCCCTGAACTGGACCGCTTTGTTGAGCTCAGTGTCTCATAAGCAGCACAGACCAACATGCATGATCACCATATTTTTTAGCTCCATTGTTTTAATCCTGGCTGTATTTTATGCATTTTCAACCCTAGTCCATTGATCAGTGGGGAACAGAAGATGTAATGACATGGTTGGCTACTACAAACTACTATACCTATGCTGAAGCATTCAGAGATTTTGGAGTTGATGGATGCACTCTACCTCAACTGAATGAAGAGAGCTTGGTAAAAATAGGTGTGACTGATCAAGCTCACCAGCAGTCCTTGTTATATATCATTAAAGAGTTGTTTTCATCTGACTCTCCAGAGGTCAGTAAATTAAGAAGCTATGAATTATCTTTTACTACTTTTAGGGACATAGGTAATCATGTACTTTATGACCAGCCAACCAGTGATCAATAATCACCAATTGACCGAATGTTAGCTGGCCAATGATCTGCCAACTATCAACTATAGACTATACCTCGACTATTTAGCAATTAGTCCCGAAAACTGAATGGGCAATGAATCACTCATAGGCCATGAGAACAAGAGGACTTATTGTTTTAGTCAAATCCAACTAGCTGGTCAAATATATAGATGCAAACAAGTTTTGAATTAAAGTAAATAAATGTTTTGGTTTTCAAAGCTGGCACTTTTTGCTACCAATAGGATATAACTTATAGCCTAGTAGTAGCTCATTCAATCAAACGAGGCATTTTTATTATTATATTTTTATTCAAACGAGGCATTATTGATAGACCACTAGTTAGATTTGAATTAAACTTGTATATTAGTCAATAGTGACAGCTGATTCTTCATTAAGAACATAAAGTCATCGCCACCATCGTTTTGGTATTTAGCAAAAAACTTCCCATTTACACCCACTGTTTATACCACCATGTCTTCTGACTCACGTGGGAATGTTTTCAAACCATCAATATCGTTGACCAACAATTGGTTGGCCGGCCATAAAGTATGCAGTTACCAGGAATATAAACTGGTTCCAATCATTCCACTATAATTTCAAAGCAGATGTCATTTAGTTGGATGTCTTCATTTTTATACATGATATCAAGTGTTACTGGTAACATAATGGTGGTCAATCACATCATGCAATTCAGCTGATAAACACACACAAAAAAGTATTTCCTGTAGTGGGCCTATCTATGGAATAATATTTAAATCAATATCAGAGATCAGCACTTAATTAATATATACGCAATTCATTAATAGATATTTCCAATGATGTATAAAGTATTTAGTTTAGTTTTAGCTTTCAAATATATTATACTATTATTTATTATTATTTATTATTAGTTATATCACAGCTCTCTGGGAGAGCACTGAGGTTATCACAATAATCTAATTTATTCCACAAGAGACAGAAAATGATGTCAAGTGAAACCCAGCAATTGTACTTACAATCAAATATGATAAGACAATAAATCAAAATAAAATCAACGTTATTAATCATTAATAATCATTATTTTTAAAGATTATAGTTTAAAGGTTAGATTTTGTACTTAAACTGTGTTTTGCACTTTTTAGAGGCAATCTAATATTTTTTGTGGTGTCCAAAAAGCTCCAAAAGGTAAGATAGTAACACTCTTAAGGCTTGTTTACACAGGCAATTTTTTTCGGCAATTTGCAGCACGATTTTTAGATTTTTGCACACTAAATTGCAGTGTGTTTTAGCAAGTTTCTCCACTCCATTCCATTGACATATGACTGGAGACAGGTTGAGAGATTCAGTCTCCATCCTTAATTAATTCACTACTTGCAACAGGAATCCAAAACAGATGAAGAAAAGGCTAATAAAATTGTACATCAATTCTTACTCTTTACATTCGAAAACAATATCCTCATTTGATATGATTGAAGCATATATTGATTAAAGCTTGTTATTGTCTTTATTCTGCATTTTTAAGGTTCAGATGGAGGACACACTTTCAAAGCTCAGAATTTCTACAGTCTACAGTGGTGTGATAATTGTGAGAAGTGCCTGTGGGGTTTGCATGATCAGGGGCTACAGTGCACAGGTACAGTCTGAGAAAGTACCACTCTTGCTGAAACAACTGTAACAATATTCACAAATTAACTTAGAATATGCTAGAATCCTGAATCATGTCTCCCCGATTAGTAGGGCGCTTGTGCCTGGCTAGAAGTTATTGAGACTTTAATAAAGTTATTATTATTATTATTATATTATGGAAAATTTTTTTCCTTGGGAATCAGAGATCACGAAAACTATAAAAATTATTAAACTGTGATCATAATTTCTGTCTGGAAGTATAAGAACTGTATAAGCCAATGAACTGGGCCCAGTTGTATGAAAGGTGGATAGCACTATGCCATGGATAAATCCTTATGCAGTGGATATATCGATGCTGTTATCCAATAAATTTATCTCTTGGATAGGATTTATCCATCGGATAGCGCTATTCACCCTTTGTACAACCTGGCCCTGACATGATTTTCTCTAGTTCAGTATTTTGTTCTTTTACTAGATAAGAAATAGTACAGATTTAATTACCATTAGCTAATATGCTATTTACATGTTACTCTCGTTTCCTAGTGTGTGGACTTTGCTGCCATAGAAAGTGTAAAATAGATGGCATACCAGTGTGTCCCATGAGAAGAGTCAAAGGAGCAAGAGATTCAGATATTGAGGGTAAGCATAACCGTCCTTTATTCACGAGGGTAGCACTTAATAGCCAGTGGCTAACAAACCTGTGGCCCTCATTCCGTGATCGAATTGGAATTTAGGAGTTGATTTTTGCGGAGGGAGGAAAACTGGAGAAACCGGAAAACCCTCGAAGCACAGGAGAGAACCAACAAACAACTCTACTTATATACAACACTGAACCCTGCGTGACTTGAGCTCGGGTCGCATTGATGAGAGGTGAGCGCTCACACTGCTACACCACCCGTGCTTCCCATATACAGGGAAGAATTCGAGCACACCAGCTTTACTATAAGGCAATCGAAAAGCAGGTTTGGAATGTTGAAGTCTTACTGACGTAAGGTTAAAAAGTTAAACATATTGTCCATTGTCTTTGTTTCCAGATCCAGTGTTTGGCCAGGAATTGAGTAGCTGTTTCCAGTCATCATCCAGACCAGCCCCAATAGTAATAATGAAATGTGTGCAGGCAATTGAAGCCAGGGGTCTCAAAGTCGAAGGGATTTACAGTTGGACACCAGAAGGATCCGAGAAATACAACTTACGTTCTGCTTTAAACCAGAGTATGTCAATTTAATGTGCCTTCATTCCCTGAATATTCTTGGAAATGCGATTGAATTTAAAGTCATGCCAATGTTTTCGGCAATTTGCAACTAACTGATTCTTATGTTTTTTGTTCTGACAGATCCTGAATCAGTGAATATGAAAGATGAGGAATGGAACAACCCTCATTGTATTGCTTCTGCCCTAAAGATGTATTTGCAGGAGCTTCCCACATGTCTCTTTACAGAAGAAAAGTATCATGACCTCATAGAAATATGTCAAAGTGAGTGTAACATGAAATAATGTTACCATCTGTAATTTCAGCAAATTTTCAATCTAACTTCTGTCTTAGCCTGTGAACAGCAGTCTCTCACCCCTTCTCTTGGGAAAAAGGGAAGAGGGAGGGATCAAATAAAGTTGTGCATCACATGGGCAAGAACATGGTGGCCCTTAGTTCCACTACCCTCCCATCCCCAACTCCTAAAGATGCTGTTGCTTTACAAGGCTTAGCCTAAGCCCGGGGGGGGGGACTCCGGGAAAAAAGTACTGGGGATGCTCGTCGGAAATTTTCAAAAAGACTCCTGAAAGATACCGGAAGTCTTTAAAAAAGGGCGTGGCTGAATGATTTTTAACCCCAAGAAATACCACAACAAATAATAAGTTTCCTCGAGTAGTTTATTATTCTTCTTACACTAGGCATCTGGACTATAAAAAGCGCCTAGGATAACCCATATCAATGCATGCTTCTCTCCTTTTCCGACACCCTAAGATATATCAGAAAATGCTGATTTTGAAAAATTCACATTTAACACCCTAAAAGATACCAAATCGTGCATTTTTACCCCTAAGAGATACGAGGGGCATCCCCGGTACTTTTTTCCCCAGAGGCCCCCCCCCGGGAGCCTAAGACTAGAAAACAATTATTGACAAATTGGAACTTGCTGCTTATATGTAGTACATAGAATACTTGTAATCTTACAGCAAAAATCATTGTATCATGACAAGCCACTATTTCTAATTTTTGGTAGGATCTGGTGTTTCCCTAACTGCTAGTTCCATCTTGATTATTTACATAGTATAACGTGTTATATATCTTCATACAGGTAACCCAAACTGTATTGACAATCTGTTAAGAGAGATTGACACATTACCACATCCAAACAAGTCTGTCATAAACTATCTAATGAAGCACTTCCACATGTAAGTAGTAATATCAAATATCCTTTTTTAATCTTTCTCTATCTCATTAATCCAGTTGGTATTTAAAGCCCAAGTCATACAGATTGGATCTCTAACTCTTTACCTGAATTATTCTTCCTGTCTTATTTATCTGTCTTTCTAAAAGCAGATCTAGGAAGAGGGTTGAGGGAAAGGGATCTGAACCCCCTGTTGTACCTAGACATTCAATAATTGATTGTTTTATTCTAAAATTTAGTTTTGCCACAGCCAGTTTGAAGTCCGTTTTATATGGAGTACACTTTTGGACCTCCCTCTGTTTGGACCTCCCTCCCAAAAATTCCTTGCTGTAGATAACAATCATTAGATTTTGTTGATCTTTAGCGTTTAATTTATCTGTGTCGTAGGGTGTGCAAGCATCAGCAGCACAACAAAATGTCTTCAATGGATTTGTCTAGAATCTTTGCTCATATATTGCTGAAACCACCCAAGAGAGATTTAAAGTATGTTGAGCTCAAAATTAATGGACTTATTCTCCCCTCCACTCCCCTTGAAGTAAAATGGACTCATTCAACTCTACGCAAGACCTTAATATCATAGGCTAGCTTATCTTTAGTTTTCTCAGCATAATGTATCAACCCCCACCCCCCTCCCTGATGGGACCCATTACCCCAGTGTTAAGTCAGTGTAAAACCTGGTAAAAGGAGGCACTGTGAGTGTTCAGTAATAGCCTACATTGAATCTGTAAATCTGTTTGGAATAGGGAAAATTAGTGCAGAGATTCCACCCCATTCTTCCTGGTTCTTAAGCCCCTTTTACACTAGCGATTTTTGCAGCGATTTTTGCAATGATTTTTACTGCAATTTTTTGCAATATTTTCCATAATAAATAATGGTAAAGAATTTACTTGTAAAGTTTTTTTCAGGATACCAAAATTTTCCTAGACGAATGTCTCTTTTGAAGGATGAGACAAAAGATTTCATATTTCTGATAATTGCCACAAAAATCGCACCAAAAATCACTGCAAACGTCGCCAGTGTAAATGGGGCTTTAAACAGGAATGCCTGCAAGCAGGCTAGCAGGGGCTCTAAGCCCCGTGTGTGATTTACTGACACACATGATTGTTTCCATAATATTCCTTGTTGTCTGGATGCTTAGGAAAATGGCTACAAACCATGAGATCCAGATTCAAATTCTTGATACTCTCATAAACCAAGGACCGTGGTCAGTAGAGGAAATAGCTGAAGAGGCACCGCCAGGTATAGTGTGAACTTCCCAGCATAAAATTCATTTCTTTATCACACTGCTTAATTATTGTAGTCCCTTTACTCTCCCACACATACTGTAAAAAGTTGTTATTAGGGACAGTTCATAAGTTATGCAGTGGGGTTGGGGGGGGGG